AAAATCCGTGAAATATTATACAAAATTAAATAAATAAAAGACACTTATTACTAACACAGCCATACATTTATTGGCTCAAGCAAATATTCTTGTGGTGTATTCAGTACAGTTATACACATAGAATGAGAGAAAAAATGATAATCAATTTACTCGGAAAAAGTGCATCTAGTGCTTTGAAATCGCAAAAATTTTAAATATTTTTTTACCAATTTTCACAGTTTTTGTTTAATAACTCGGCCACACACTAATCAAACTAATGCTCAATAATTCAAGAGGATATCTTTTCAGTTTGTCCTTCATATATATATAGGATGAGAGCATATGTTCGGCCCGATTCCGCTGAATGCATATACATATCATGTATCGTTGGAAAGGTAACAGTCCGAACTGTAAATCAAGCATAAAATAACTTCATTTTGATTTGAGTTGCTTAGNGCATCCGTAAATTGGTTGAACGTTGGGAGTGGATTGCCGAACATGATGGCGAATACATAATTGAAATCGGGCACGAACTTATGCACTCATCCAATACATATAATTTCAACAACAAACGCAAAAACTTATGGCCGAGAGCATGTGTTACACTGTGTAATGCAATGTAATTTTTGTATACTCGTAGGTCTTAAAGAGAACAATTATAATTTGGGGAAAAAAGGAATTGGTTTGTTCAGTGTACACGAGGCGCTAGCTAGCGGTGATATCAACTATATATGTATGTATGTACATATATTCAAAATAAATTATTTGTTCGTCATAAATATGTCTTTAATTATATACGTGCAGTTTAATTTTAATACATTTGTTTTTTACTGATTCCGCCATACTTGAATGATTTTATCGATATCGAAAGGCAAACTGGTAGCACCGACTATATACGTGTATGTGTGTGTGTTTGAAAACAAGTGCTTTTAATACTTATTTGTTCATAAAAAAATATGTATATATATAAACCTATATGAAAACGAGCATTTGTGTTGCTTCAAGCTAAAACCGCCTAAGTGCAAATATTTTGAAATTCTTTTTTCCAATTTTAAATTCGGAAATAAACAAAACACAATTGTTTTATCGACCATACATAGATATGTACATATAAACATGTGCATTGCTATGAAAAGGATCGCATTTGGTCTCACTAAGTATGTAAACTCATAGGTTATTAGTAATTTGAGTTACGAGCTTTTCCTGATATACATAAATTCATGTTCATATGTGTTTGTTGAAATACTTCATATGAAACTTTTAGTTTCATTAAAGCGCACGTAGAACAGAATCAACAAAAAGTAAAAAAATCCCCAATCATGCAACCTTATCAGGTACTTCGTTTGTGGAGTGGCGTCGATGAGGTTGGCAATAAATTTATCATTATGAAAATTTGTGGTTGATTTTATAATGTTCATGAACTCCTTTTTATTATTATTATAATTTCGGACATTTTTACTTTTTGATTTGTCATTGTTTTTTACTGATAAGGGAAATTTTAAGTGCTTCATTTGTTTTTTTTTTTTATATTTTGTTTGTTTACAATAAAAAGAAATTTCAAGTTAAAGAAGAGTCTGCCAACCCAGTTACAATCTATTCCAACAGACAGGCTGCCATTACGGCTTCCCACTGCAATCATACCTCCCCAAAGGTGACTATAAGATTCAGAGTGATCTTAAACAAACCCCCGACTGTACTTATGCGAAACCTCCGTGGTGTGGGGCCCTGGCCAGGGAAACATCCCAGGGAACCGCGTTGCCGCGTGCACAGGACGTGAGCATATCGCATCCCTCGGCAAAATATTAGCCAAGGCTAGCCTTGCCAACGGCAGATAGCAGAGTTCAACCGCGTGCAATGAGAACAGGGCAGAGATGGTAGAAAGATGTGCTGCTTCTCAAAGTATTTCTGATGATGATTTCAGTGGAACATTACCAGTGCCTATACTCAGCGCTCAGCGTGGTAAACAGATTTTTTAGGCCTTTAAAGGCGCATTATATACACTCAAATATATATATTATATTAAAATAAAAATTAAACATCACAAATATGTCACATGCGAATTGCAAACACACCGCGAAGCATGAAACGCACCCATTAATTATGAGTGTATATGTAACGACATACATATGTACATCCATACATACATTCATTCAATGTACATATATTTTAAGGTGCACACCCTATATTGTTCATATGGTACAAATGGCTCTACTTTCAACTCTAAATATTGTTTTTTTTTTTTTTGTTTTATATTTTTCTTTGGAAATATCGATTCTCCGCCCTAGGTCTTAGGCACATAGTGGGTGGGTATCATTGCTTGATACACATACATATACATTTACTACTTTATGTACATGAATGCAGACATCGCCGATTCACGGCAGTCATCCCCATGGTCTCGGAAACTACAGTTAGGCAACGATTGAAGTGAAAAAATTATAGAAAATCAATTATTGCTTCCCTCTTTAATGTAAAAGCAAATGGAGTTCAGCCATAATTGCTAACCTCTTTGTGAGCATACGTACATACATTTACCCATACAAAGTATTTAATAAAAAGAGGAGTGGAAACAGTTAGATATGGCTGCGAGATCTAACGGGATCGGGGTTAATTGTAGCATGTACAGTAGTGCTCTGCTGAGTAACGAAAATTTTTGAAATTAAGTGCATTTGTTAATTTTTTGTAGAAAACTAATACCCTTGGAGGGTGCGCAGTAAGAACATTTTAACATTTGCGTAAAATCAATTTTTTTTAACTAAATGATGAAAACAAAAGCTTTTGCGATTGAGAAATGTGTGGACGATTGTAGTAGCAGCCGAAAACTCTTTTATTTTTTCCTATTGTTTAAACATATTTTTAATTTTTATTAAAACATTTCTTTTAATTTGGCTTTGAGTCATAAAGCTTCTAAGCAATTACATATTTATAAAGATGTTATACATATATACTAAAGGGTGATTTTTTAAGACCTATAGGAAAGTTAAAAAAAAAACGCATGAAATTTTTTTTTGAATCGATTGCACGGTCCACATAATTTAATATTTGAAGATTATTTCATGCAAATATTGACCGTGACTGCGCCTCAAATGGTTCATCCGCTTAGTCCGATTTTGGCATACTCTTTCCAACATTTCGGGCGATATCTCACGCATAAGTGCTTCAATGTTGTCCTCCAATGCGAAAAAATAGTCTAAAGGCGTTAAGTCGCACGATCTAGGCGGCCAATCGACCGGTCCCAAATGTGAAATAAAATGTTCACCGAACTCGCCTCTCAAAATGTCCATTGTTACGCGTGCTGCGTGCATGTGGCACCGTCTTGTTGAAACCACTTGTCATGCAAGTCCATGTCTTGCATTTATGGCAAAAAAAGTTTGATAACATCTCACGGTAGCGCTCACCATTCACGTTACGATTCGCATCATCTTTGAAGAAGTACGGTCCAATGATGCCACCTGCCCAAACTGAGACTTTTTCTGTATGCATGGTGGCTCTTGCAATGTTTCTGACTGATCTTCACTCCGACAATTCTGCTTATTTACGCACCCAGAAAGCTAAAAACAATTGAATTAGATTGAACTTTCTTCACAGAGCTCGCATTTTGATAATAAAATTCAATAATTTGGAATTTTATGAGGAGTCTTTAATTCCATGTCAGAAATGCACTCGAAGGGGTTTACATACCCTGCAATTAGTCGGTAAAGAATTTTAACTTATTTCTTCTTACCGCGGAGCTATTTTATACCTTCCAAATACAAGGATATACTAACTTTGATCCGAAGTATGTTATAAGTGCAAGAAAGAGAAGAGGTGGACTTATCAAAATTTTTATCGCTCGGCTCATAATGACAAGATGAATTGATTTTATCATGTCCGCATATGGTGAATTACAAATTCCTGTTGAAAATTATCGGCATCGGATGACTATGACATATAACTCTCATTCACCAATTTGTTCAGGTATCGGGTTTCTACAAATAAACATTATCAACGAAAATTATTGAAATCGGGGAACTTCATCATACATCCAGAATTTATGGCAGCTCCTCTTTCTTGTTTTACATGAGTTTGTAGCTGTGGGATTGCACGGCTAGGAAACCTTAGCGCACATTTGCAAAAATAAGAGAATAAGAGAAGCAGTCTCGATCAATATTAAGTACAATAAGTAATGAACAAGTAGGTAATGAACGTGGCCTATCGGTGCCGAATTCATTTTTGGTCTTAAGAGCTGTTGAGAATTCGTTAAAACATTTGAAAGTTTGCTGTAAAGTATTTAAAATAAATATTCTTCGGTTTTGTGGACTGCGTTAATGTTTTTTTTTTTTTTTGCAACTCTATATAAAACCGAAAACTTTAGTCAACCGATTTAAGTTCAACGAAAAAGTAAGCAAAACATAAAACTTATAACGTTATGATTTGTTCTCGATGGCCGATGAATCATTACTCAGTGTTTAGTTTTTTTCGTAATTCCGCAGATTGAACTCTTGCAGACGACACACCAGCAATGCCGCTGCCGCCAATAAATGACAAATCGGCCAGCGTTAGCAAATGACTATCAATGTCATAGCCAGTAAATTTTTAGCAGTAATTTATTTTTAGTTTGTAGGGATAAAGAAGAAATTATATAATATTATACATTATTCTAGCAACAAAGTCAAAGTCAAATTTAAGAAACGGATTTGGTAGACAAAAAGTGCAGAGGAAAATTTAGGTTTGCTTATACATTCATATAAATAAGAATTAAGTAATCAATTATAGTCATATGTACGTGGTACTGTATATGCATGCGAATGTGCTTCAAAGTGCAAGTACTCTTTCTTGCCACTTCTTATCTGCAAACACAAACATACCTACGAGTATTTCTGATTTAATTAATATTTCCAATTTAATTTATACATTTCAATTAATTTGTCGTGTTTTCTTTCTTGTTACGATAAGCAATTAAAGTAAATAAATCAATGATAAAAATAAATATAAATAAAAAGATTCGAGCACCTTTATTCTTCAAACAAAACTTTACTTACTCAATTTTAGTTGAAATGTGGCTTCTACTCCAGATAAAAATCATTTGAAAAGTGATCAAGACTTGTGATAAATGTCAAGCCTCGACAATATTTCAATATTATTTTTTCATTATTGGAAATGGTTGCCATTTTGCTTAAGTTATGACACTCAACATTTCAATACGCGACATTCTAACGATCACAATGCGGTTGATAAGTACATACATATGTACATACGTGTATGAGTATTATGTGGTTAACTATGGAAATGTGAGAAACATTCATTTAAGCACAATTTTTTATGTGAAAAATTTATATTTTGTTAAAAAATTTTAACTCGTTTTTATTTCACAGCATTACCATCACTTGTTCAACTATTCGAGTTCACACTGAACACTCATTAATTGTGTTAACGAAAACTTTGAAATTTTCAAAAGAAACATTTTTTTTACCGTACTATGAACAAACGAGTAGAAATTGTACTACGCTTTATATCACAATTTCAAGCTGATATATGTATTTCCTATCAACACATGATTTTCCCTATCGTTATTTCAGAATATCTCAAAATAGATAGTGGCATTAGATAAGTTAACGTATCATTTTAGAGATTTTGACTCCTAGCAAAACCCGACAATACTTCTATGAATTTCCGCCAACAATCAGTTGAGCGCATAAAAAGGCTTTAAACGGTTTAAACTTTAAGCTACTGAAGTAATTTTCTATCGGGAGATGTCGTTCTTTTTTTTTTTAAGAAGTGTAAAAAATATTGTTTAATTGATAGTTTCGTGTTTTTTATATTATTATCTTTCATTTTTGTGCAAATATATACATATACATACTCGTATACATACACAGAGAAGAGTTCATCGCCAACTCTCCCCCGCCCTCTAGAAAGTGCTTACACGCCTTTTATAATATAACTTTTATAGCAAATCAGTTCACTACATTCCATTAACGTCGTTGATAAACAGTCAATTGCACCACAACACTGTTCTACAAAGCTTTGTTTGTATCTGAGCTGTTGAAAGCTCAACTGTTCAACTGCATATTTTGCAGATGAAATTTCAATTCAAATAAAGTAAGTCTCGAACTTGCGAACCCATATGAATACAAGCCGATGTTAAGCTAATTTAATTATTTATTTTTTAAACGGAAGCATCCAAAAATTATAGAAAATTAATTTAAATAAAAAATCAAGCAAAATTCTCTAATTGCGGTCGTTCCACGGCAGGGAATGTCAACTCCTCCGAGTGTATTTCTGACATGAAACATTAGGCGTTCGGAGGCAATAAGTATACACTGTAGGTCACTCCATTTGTTGGAAAAATATCAGGAAACGAATTGGAGAAGAAGCTCGGCGGGAAATCGTTTAAGCGGTTCCAAAGCGCCAATTATATATATATAATTGATTTAAAGAATAAGTCAAAAAAAATTTCACAAAGTGGAGGCTTCTCAAGAAAAATTCAAATTTCTTTATAATTTTTCTTTGAAAAAAATAGGAAAAATTTGAGACTAATCGGTTCAGCCGTTTCCGAGAAATTTTGGGTACCGACTTGGAAAACATAACTTCCAGAAAAACGAAAATGCTCTGACGCGTCGTGACATATATGTGAGTAACTTCCAACAAGTAACACTCGGATCGACTTGAAATTTTCAGAGGATTTACTTTAAATCATGTACATTACGATAATTAAATTAAAAAAATCGATATTTTTAAAAATTCTAACTAGAAGTAACCCCTTAAAAAGTGCATTCTTAATCAGTGCAAGCACTTAATGTTTGAGAATCAGCCTGGAAACTAGTTATTTACGTCCGTCCCAGTGCGCTTCGTTACTTTCCTCCATTTATATCACCAACCTAAATGGACGGCCCGGAAGTTACTTTATCGCAGAGTCATTGGCGGGAGAGCTTTCCCTCCCTTCTATAATCTTTTGTGAACATATGAAGTTCCAACGCAACTTCTGGCGATATGACCGTATCAATGGTGGGCCTAAGATAATATGATTTGTTTACCGATAAGTACCAGATTAAATTAAATGAAACTCACGCAACTCACTCACATCAAGACACATGGATATCACATACGAGTACATGCTATGTACGTAATCTTATCCCTATCTGTTGGCTTGATGACGTTTTAAGTTTCAAGCAACTAATTTCGGGGGCGTGATTGCATTGCGCTGTTCTTCTTAAACAATCCTCTTTAACCAATTTACACCAACACGAGGTGATATACATGTAATCAGCGCGAGTACTTTGAATACATATGCATATATGTGTATGTAAGTATGAACTCATATATACGATATGTACAATAAGTATTTGGCTATTTATAAGATATGCGTCCGGTTGTAGATACAAATATACACACGTATACAATATATATATATGTATGTATATATTTACCATATGGATTCGGTAGACTGTAAGGTATGCCCAACTGACCCAGCTAGATAAAAGTATCTAATCTTCATTTTTTAGCAATATTTATAAGATAATGAAGATTTGCTATCAATTCCCTTTCCATTCATTCAGTTGGTAGGATATCAGTGGGTATCTGTAACATAGCTGTTTTCCAGTATCAGTAGGTATGTTATGTTTGAACTGATAATGTACCGAGATAATAAGCGATAATAATTTGAATTTGAATTTTTCATTTGCTCCTTTAACTTTGGGCCCATTTCGCTGGTGAATCTAATCACAGTTTGTGAGTGTAATTGGTGTTTTTAACACACAAAAAACAGGAATCAGAAGTCATTTAATTTACAATGTGTCGTCGTAGCGAAAGAAAGTTTTACGAGAATTTTATACTCAATTAAGAAAAAAATAATAATTAATTAGTCACGCGCATAATTAATTATGTCTAATATAAAAATGATTGAAGCGTGCGCATATGGAAAATTGTTTGTGTATATATGTGTATATATTAAAAGAGAATGCAAAGTAATTGGAGAAATTTGAAATCACTCTTGAAACATGAACAGTGCCCACAAAAACACGAAGGTTATAAAATCACAATTCGACAAATCAGCAGCGAAATATAATAAGCAACCATCTCAAGTGAGAACTAAATGCCTCCAAATTACAAAGCGCTACAATTGCTTATCAAATATCGACTACTTTTTGTTAGAACTTCCATAAAAATTAATCAAAATGAAATCATAAATTCTTCAACGCGCCGCAACTAGTGTCCCAATGTTCAATATTAAACATACATACAATACATATGTATATGCATATATGGAGTGTAGTTGCACTGCAAACTAAGTAAGAGTACCAATCAACGGTCATATTTGTGCACGAAAAATTCTCAAGCAGAAAATAAGCAAATGAGAAGAAGAAAAAATTGGCCCGAGTGTCATTGGTCTAAACACGATTTGCTGGTGGATTCTTTTCAGAAATAAATCCGACAATTCCTTGCCGAGGCACTGTGTAGATGATTTCTTAAATTCTTGTCTGGGCTGGGGCTGGTATATTTGACACGTAGGTCATTTATAAATTTGCAAAACATACAGGTCCAAAACAAATGAAATGTGCACGGTTCAGCTTAATAGATTTAACAATGCTTTCTCAATGAGTTGTTGTTGTTGGTGAAGTTGTAAAATGTGCACTGTTTTATGACATGCCTTACCGAGGGAACATTGTTCAACCTTTGTACGCAGAGGTTAGCTAGTTGGCCCAAGTGCATATGTTTGGCGTGATATCTGTCATTTAAAATGATAACTTAAAACAAACTAAATTTGAACTTAATAAAAAAAAACAACACTAACGGGGCGATTTGGCCGAATTTTCCTTAGAATGTACGTAATTTTCTAGATAGATACAAGGAATCCTTTTGATTTCTGCCAAAGTATCAGAGACCAGAGACCAACGATGTACTCGAAATTAAGTTTTCGGTTCCTTTTTGTATGACTTGGAAACAAGCATAGATCGTGCATAGGTTCTTCGGTTTACTGCGTTAGTATTATTGGACTGAAAATTGATCGCAGATCAAAGAATTGACGTTCGGCTTCCAACAAGACTTCTTACAAGGCATTCATATTCATGTTCTAACTACTTTTGATACGCAAATAGGCATTACAACCGCCTAACCGTGTAATTACTACCATTCGGAAGGCCAGGGTTCGAGTCCATATCCGCCCAATATCCTGAAGTTATACAATATTAATTAAATAATAAATTAAATTAATTTTTTTTGATTAGGATTGCCTTTCGGCAGGGAATGTTAAGCCATTCTAATGCTAATGCTAGCATATTGTAAAGGCTTCTCTTAAAATTCCATCGGCCGTAGACTGTTATCCCTCCATCTGTTGCAAAAAACATTCAGATACATACCACAGAAAAAGCTCGACCGAAATCGCTTCAACCGTCACAACCTAAAGTAGATCAATAAGACAGTAGACAGTTAAATATTCAGCATTAGTTGAAACTCAATTACAACTTTTCATCGTTGTTTAAACATCTATCAGGTGTACAACTTTGCTTCCGCCGTTTTTTTCCAAAATTAAAAGCTTTATTGCGAAAAAGTGCTTACAGATATATCATTCAAAGTATTGTCCTTCGCTAGCGACAACTTTCTCCCATCTTCCCGGCAATTTTCGGATCCCGGCTCGAAAAAAGGAGTCCTCTTTTGACGCTATCCATGAAGCAATCCATTTTTCCAATTCTTCGAAGGATTGAAAATGTTGATCTGCCAGGCCGTGTGCCATCGAACGGAATAGGTGAAAATCAGATGGGGCGACATCTGGAGAATACGGCAGGAGGGGCAAGACTTCCCATTTCAGCGTTTCCAGGTACTTTTTGACCACTTTTGCGACATGAGGCCGATTATCGTGCTGGAGGTTGACTTTATCATGTCGCTCTTGATATTGTGGCTGCTTTTCTTTTAGCGCGCGACTAAGGCCCATCAGTTGCGTTCGGTAGCGATCTCCTGTGATGGTTTCACTCGAATTTAAGAGCTCGCAGTAAATCACACCGAGCTGATCCCACCACTTGAAACCACTCCCGACACGTTCTTTCACTAAGAGCAGCATCACCGTAAGTTTCCGAGAGCATTCGATGCGCTTCAGCTGATTTTTTTTTTTTTTTTTCGAATTGTAACAGAAAAGTAAAACTTCCCGCAAATGGCGAGAATTAGGCACATAAACGGACATTTTCGAAATTTTCGAAAATGATGAAGAGAGAAAATGCAGAAGCCAATTTGTATATCCGAGAGGAACGCACACATTTGGTATATTTTATATGTTATATTAAAGAAGCCTTGTAAATTGAGACATTCAACACAGCTTCGCAGGTTAATGACCAAATAATTGATAACCTTGCAAACTCCCTGAATGAGACAGGGATGAAATAATTGGACTTGGCTTTTCATGTTACGTGGTTTTCATGCGGGGTGAAAATATAAAAGGATATGTACATACTCGTATACATATATATATATTTTGTGTAAAATGTTGCACTTGCACTT